CGCGGCCCTGGCCGGGCTCGCCCTGCTCCCGGGGGCTGGCTGCGGTGTCTTTTGGGAAGAAAAGGTGGGATGAGCGTATGGTGGCTGATGAAAGCTGGGACCTTCCTGCAAAGTCCCACCCTGCTCTGGAGACAATTCTAAAGTCCAAGGGGCGGCAGGCAAATAAGTGGACATCGTCCCACTGGCGAGTCCCCAGAGGAGATGCCTGTGGGCCCAGGTGGGCCTGAGGTGGGAGAACCCAGCCCTTCGGTCCTCCCCGCTCACTGCTGCCATCTCACCTTCCACTGAGTTAGAGAGGAAACTGGAACTTTAAAAAAAAGGAGGAAATGAGAAAATAAAAAGCAAGGAAAAGACAACAGCATGGCCAGCCATCCGGACAGAGGACTGTGATGGGGCGTCCCCCTGGCTGCCCCTGACCCATGGCCGCTCTAACGGGGCCTCTGATGGCTGGGCTAGACCTACAGGTACAGACAGACAGATATTGCATATATCAAGTTTGGTTTTTGTTTTTTTTTTGTTTGTTTCATACCAGATACCCTCCATAGTCACAGCTGGAAGACGTAGTACTGGGTGTTGGGGGGCAAGGAGAGGGCAGGAAGGAACTGACACCCAAGGCTGGTGTCCAGGAAGGGGGACAAGTGGGTCCTTTGGCAAGAAGGAGGGGGGTACGCAGGGGAAGAGAGGGAGCCTCTTTGGGGGTGGGAGAGCAATTTGACCCTGAGCCAGAGGAACGCCAGCCTGCATGAGAGTGGGATGGGGAGTCTGGCTGTCGGCGGGGCGGCCTCCCCACGGGGGTACAGCCTGGGTCATGCACGCATGCGTGGCGTCTGGGGGACCAGCCGGCGGCCCAAGAGCCAGGGCGCACTCCTGAGGTCTGTCTGCTGCTGTGGTGGGGGCTTCAGAAACGACCCCTTGGAGCAGAGGGGTGGGGCTGGGGTTGGCGGAGCACCAGGGAGCACCCCCAATGCAGCAGGAGCCATGGAGACAGCCCAGGGCAGGTGGGGCGTGGGCAGGGGGGCGGGTCATGGGGCAGTTGCTCTGTGGACTGCTTTTTAGCATGTAATTTTTTTTTTTAGTTCTTATTTTTTTTTACAAATAGAAATACATCCCTTTTCCATTTTTACTTTTTATTTCATGTCATTGTTTTGTCTTTTTCTTTTTAACTACACGAGCAGGGCATGCAGCTACCTTTGCGCTGATATTGTTTAAAGGTAATACTTATTTTCGGAAGGCAAGGCACATCATGTGGTAGAAAATTTCGTGCAAATTAGGAAACATGGACTTTTTTAAAGGTATTTTTTTTGTATCTTTTTTTTTAAAGAGGAGGGGAGTAGTGGGGCTGGGGCTGGGAGACAGAGCCAGGTAGAATCTGCCATGCAGTGCCAGCTGCAGTGAGCTGACAGCAGGAGCCAGGCCACAGGAGTCCTCGACTAAGCACCATGCAAGTTAGGTCGCTGGGGGCTGCCAGGTGCCCCCTCCCCTACCACGCCTACCTGCACCCTAAGGTTCCCGGCTAAGCTTCCGGATACCCTAGCTGCGTGACCCACCTTCCTGCCCTCCCAACCAACGGCCCATGCTTCGGCCCCCGGTGGCCACCTGCAGGGCCCTGGGGACCCATGGATGGGCCCAGGGGTCTTGTTTAGCATGTAATTTTTTTTTTTTAGTTCTTATTTTTTTTTACAAATAGAAATACATCCCTTTTCCATTTTTACTTTTTATTTCATGTCATTGTTTTGTCTTTTTCTTTTTAACTACACGAGCAGGGCATGCAGCTACCTTTGCGCTGATATTGTTTAAAGGTAATACTTATTTTCGGAAGGCAAGGCACATCATGTGGTAGAAAATTTCGTGCAAATTAGGAAACATGGACTTTTTTAAAGGTATTTTTTTTGTATCTTTTTTTTTAAAGAGGAGGGGAGTAGTGGGGCTGGGGCTGGGAGACAGAGCCAGGTAGAATCTGCCATGCAGTGCCAGCTGCAGTGAGCTGACAGCAGGAGCCAGGCCACAGGAGTCCTCGACTAAGCACCATGCAAGTTAGGTCGCTGGGGGCTGCCAGGTGCCCCCTCCCCTACCACGCCTACCTGCACCCTAAGGTTCCCGGCTAAGCTTCCGGATACCCTAGCTGCGTGACCCACCTTCCTGCCCTCCCAACCAACGGCCCATGCTTCGGCCCCCGGTGGCCACCTGCAGGGCCCTGGGGACCCATGGATGGGCCCAGGGGTCTTGAACCCCTCTGGACAATGGGAGGGGGAGTCGGGGAAGGGTCTTGGATCTTTCTCTTTATGATCAAGTGGGTTCGCCAAGCCCCTCGGGCTGGTTTGGGAGGAAAGTCCGGTTTCTGGAAGTGGCGGGAGGCTGGCCAGGCCCGGGGGTAGCAAGAGAAGGAGCTGAGGGCCAGGCTGGGAGCAGATGAGGTGGAGGCCCTGCTCAGGGCACCAGCTTTGGCCTAGGCCCGGGGCGGGTCATGGTGGGTAGATATTCCTCAGCGCCAGGCATGGAGGCTGGAGGCCGCCAGGGGGCTCAGGAGGAGGGGCCGGGAGGGGTCTGTGTTTGGGCCTGGTTACCCTAGAACACCTAACACTCCCTCCTAGGCCCCCCACTCAAGATGGCCACCCTGGGGTGGGGGTGGGATGGGGCTGGGGAGCCGG